ACCACAAAGCAAACTGCAGATCCTAGGAGTCTATAGGATGGAGCCATGCCAGCTAAAGCGGTATCAAACTGCATTATTTCTGCAGTGCAGATTCAAGCTGCATCCATACTGTAGAACTGGTTTCCTTCTCCTTCTCCCCTTGTCCTCCTCCTCCTCCTCCTCTCTCCTGGCTCCCTTCTCCTTTTCCCTTCATCTTCATGCTCCTCCTTCTCTACCTGGCATATAAGACGACCCCTGACTTTTGGGACCCAGGAAGGTATGCTCCCCACATAGACAGAAGGAGTAGGGGCCTGCTTGCATGAATACCCCTCATACCATCTGAACTGAAGACAACAACCACAACATGAGCTTGGGACTCATCCTAACCACTAACATCTTTGATTTAGAGTTGTGGTACCCATCACTGCCCATCCTGCATCTAGACTGAAAAGCATAAACTGCTACATTATACATTAATTGTGCTATGCAGTCCTTGTGTTGAATGGCAATGTTGAAAAATTGGCCACCCAAATGTGCAAATGAGTGTGCAATCAAATGAGGATGGGGGCATTCCATGTGTGCATGCATTGTGCCCACCTGCATGTACAAGGAGACTGCAAGCACACCTCCATTTCTGCAACTTTATTCTGCATTAGACAAAAATGTCCAATCATTTCCCTATGGGAACCTATGTGTATATAAGACAGCAACAGGGATTCAGTCAGTATTTACCTGAGCAAGAAGTAAAACTACAAAAATATGGGATGACTTGTCCATCAGAATCCATGGAGAACTGCTGGTGTGTCAATAGGTGCTCACCATATTGCAGTCCTGAGAGTTGGGTCATAGGTCTTCAACACAACAAGTGAACATGGTTGCCCTTTGCTTCCCTGTCAAACCTGTAGCCTTCCAACAGTCTCAGATTTATAATAATTTAACCAGTGAATAAGAATGACAAGTGATGAATTGAGCACAAGAAGCTAGTTCTCAGTGTGCTATTAATCATTAGGCCACCATGCAGGGAGAGAACAAGCAATCTATATAAGTTACAAATGTTGTAAGGCACACATTAATCAGACAGCATGAAAAGGTCATTGTGCTGCTGAAAAGCAGGATGAGTAGATTTAGCTGAATTGATGGGGGACTCTGATTTTGTGTATTTATTTTCAAGGAAAAAAACATCATTAAAGCTGCACAAACACCATAAATAACTGACTTTGGAGATGGCAGGGGAAACACTTTTTCCTTTTGCCTTCTGTGGTTTTATCCGAATTTGTTCAATAAATACTTTCATGTAGCTATTAGCCTAAACTCTCCTTCTGTGTGATT